TTTTTCCAAAACTTGTTTGGTTTACAAGTTTTCCAAACAAATCTCTCTCTCATACACATCAAATCAATCACTTTTTCCAAAACTCTCTCTCAAAATAATTTTTCAAAACATCTTTTGAAAAAAAACCAAACCAAACAAATTTTCGTACTTTTTATCTCAAAACATGTTTCTCAAATACAAACCAAACAAGGCCGGTATGTTTGGTTTGAGTTTGGGAGATGAGTTTTAGAGATAAAAAGTACGAAAAGTTGTTTGGTTTGGTTTTTTTCAAAAGATGTTTTGGAAAATTATTTTGAGAGAGTTTTGGAAAAAGTGATTGATTTGGTGTGTATGAGAGAGAGATTTGTTTGAAAAATTTGTAAACCAAACAAGTTTTGGAAAAAAAATTTGGGAAAATTTGTTTGGTTTAATTACTTTTGAAAACTTATTTGTAGAAAATTTTTTCCAAAATTTTTTGGGAAACGCAAACCAAACAAGGCCAGTTTTTGAGCATAGCATTTCATATGCATCTCACCATATGATGTTAATTATCATACATTTCATGGAGTTATCTCTCTTGGGCTTTATGTTCATCCTACGTGCAAACAATTTTCAGGTATTGACAGCATGCCTCTACCAAGTGGATAGTTTGGGAGGAGCATGGAGCTTAAGGCTCGTTTTGGTTTTCTTTTCTGTTGTACAGCATCGGGCTTTGTTGTATTGGGCTTTTGACCCCTTTTGTTGTAACCAAGCAATGTCTTGGGAACTTGTAGCCCTTAAAGTATAAACATGTATTTGTTTAAATATTGTTTCTTAGAGATCACATGCTGTAGATTCATGTTCTAGAATCAATGAATACATAATTGCATGTGATGCTATTTTGTATGACTCAAATGACGTTTTTGAATGAAATATAGTTTTGGAGATGTTTCTTGTATCATAATGATTGAGATTTAAGGTTCCGCATGTCTGATGAGGGATATAGTATGTAGTTGGGTATCTATAATTTTGGGGTGTTACACAACCAATAGATTCGAATCAAATATGGGTGAAATTGAATTGAAATTGTTACTCATAAGATTCTAACAACTAATTTCTAGCAAAAATGATAACATATGAACAGTATTACATGATGACACAAACAACTATTTCACCTACCGATTAAGAATTCAATTAATAGAAATTCCAAATATGTTAGCCAAACAAACTGAAGCAGAATAATGAACGGATTACTATTCTGAAGCTATTATGTGTGAAAACTAATCAAGAATACCTTCTCATGAGAACCAGCATTCACTATTTCAGACATTCGATCACGAAATAAAGCCTGTGCCTTCTTCAATCTCTCCAATGGCTCAGCATTCCTAGCACCAAAATAATATCAGAAAAGATGTATACATAAATTTAGGGAGAGAGAGAGAGAGATGAAGAACCTTGAAATGCCCAATTGATAAGCCATAAATGCATCAGCAAACTTCCCCTTTGCTTCCAAAAACAACGCATACGACTCGTAGAGCAAAGAATTAGACCTACATATCTTGTTCTGCTCCATAACTCTGAAAATGCTCTCAAAATCTGGACTTGAATCCATCTATAAAAGCAACAAAACTCATCAAAAATTCAAATTTAGTATAACGACCCCGCGAATCACTCGATGTAGAGAGGAAAAAAGGCATTACGTATAGAAACCATATCTTGAGAAATCTGACGTCGTTCTGGTACCGAGCGTCGTTCTTGAAGATCTTGATGCAGTTGGAGATGAGCTCATCGAGATCTGTGCCATTACAATCTGCTGAACTCAGACCATCGATTGATTTCTTAATTGACCTGGATTAACACGAAAAAAGACAATTGATCTTGAATGAGAGAGCGAGAGAGAGAGAGAGAGAGAGAGAGAGAGAGAGAGGGTTGGGTACCGGAGCCATGGCAAGAGAGGGTCGTTGACGGAGGAAGTGTTGTCCTCTGGATGTCTGAAAATTACAGTCATGTCCTCTCTCTCTCTCTCTCTCTCTCTCTAGACATGCATGTGTAACTGATGAGAAGGGGAAGAAATATTTTTGGGGGCTTCGAACAAGGCGGGGAAATGCTTTTTTCGAATTGTAGTGAGAGAAAGTGTCAAGCTTTGAGGCCTAAGCTGTCAAATTTTTGCTTAAAAAAAAAATGTCCTAACTTTTTCTTACCTTATTTAGGGGTTGTTTGGGAGGCTTTTCCCAATATAAGCCTTTTTTACATTGTATTTTCAAAACTAGGCCAACTTCTGACGGAATTCCAAAACTAAGCTAAAGCGCCATTACTATTCGCGCTTTTACTGTTAGGAGCGCAAAAGTAGATGAACAGGAAAATCGCTATTACAAATAGCGACTTTGATTAAGAAGTCGCTGTTACGAATAGCGCTTATAGCGTTAGTTTTTTTGCCAATAAAAACGTTGTTCTAAACAGCGCTTTTTACACAAAATTTTGTTGCCAAAAAAACGGTATTGCTAATAGCGATTTTAACAAAAAAAAATTTCCAGAAAAAACGCTATTTCTAATAGCGATTTCAGTTAAATGAAAACGCTATTTCTAATAGCGATTTCAGTCCTCATATATACGAAGCCCCCCCTCATTTGCATACGTTTTTCAGAATACGTTTTTCAGACTTAGGTTTTTCGGCATCTCGCTCTCAGCTCACTCTCCATCTCTCAGCCTCTCCATCTATCAGCCTCTCCATCTCTCACCCTCCTCCATCTCAGCTCGCTCTCGCTCTCTGCTCTCGCTCTCTGCTCTCGGTCTTTGCTCTCACTCTCTGTCTCTGCTCTCTCTCTCTCCGTGGTATGACATTAACCCTAATTTTATGTATTTAGTTTTTGTGTTTGTAAATGTGTTGTATTTTTCTGTCAATGTTAGGGTTTTACATGTGAATTATTAAATGTGTTAGGGTTTTTATCATTGTGGTTATGAAATTAGGGTTTGGAATTTTTTGAAATCAGAAATCAGGGTTTGGAAATCAGAAATGCGAATGGTTTTGAATTTGTGGAATTTTTTTGCTTTTGAATTTTTGGATGTTGCTTGTGAATTGAATATGGTTATGAATGTTTATGCTTTGTCAGTGTGGTTGTGGTGATGAAATTAGGGTTCGATATCAGATTGTTCACATTATTAGGATTGTTCAAATTAGGATGTCATTTTAGGGTTCACATTATTAAGGGTTGTAACGCTTTTGAATTTTTATGCTTTTGAATCATAAATCGGGTTTGGAATTTTTTTAATTTTTTGAATTTTTTAAATAAATCATAAATATGAGAATTGAGAATTGAGAATTGAGAATTGAAAATTCATAAATCATAAATATGTTAATATCATATTATGAAATTCATATAATTGAGAATTGAGAATTGAAATGACGAAATGTTTATATTTTTAAATTTGAAATCAGGAATTAGAATTTTGAAATTATGCTTGTGAATCAAAATGTCTACATTTGTTGAATCAAATTATGGTTCAGAAATTGTTAATGTCTAATTTCTACAAAATATAATTATTAAACAAAAAAATATTTAATTTTGAATGTATCATGTATTAAAAAAATATTTAATTTTCTCTCCATGAAAAGATCATGTTCTCTCAAATAAAAGATCATGTTCTCTGAAATATTTAATTTTGACTCTATTTGATTAAAAAGAAATATTTTTATTGGTTTATCAAAATATTTAATTTTGACTCTATTTTATTAAAAAGAAATATTTTTATTGGTTTATCAAAATATTTAATTTTGACTCTATTTTATTAAAAAGAAATATTTTTATTGGTTTATCAAAATATTTAATTTTGACTCTATTTTATTAAAAAGAAATATTTTTATTGGTTTATCAAAATATTTAATTTTGACTCTATTTTATTAAAAAGAAATATTTTTATTGGTTTATCAAAATATTTAATTTTGACTCTATTTTATTGAAAAGAAATATTTTTATTGGTTTCTCAAAATATTTAAATTTGACTCTATTTGATTTAAAAAAAAAAATTTGGTTTAATTTCGTTTGGTTTATTTCACTATATGTCCATGTTGATTGGTTAAATATGATTAAAACATTTAATGAGCTGAATTTGTAATACATATAATAGAATTATAGTAGAAATTAAAATTTCCTCACAAAACTTAAGAAAATTTGAAAAAGTTATTGAAATGGGTATTGAACGAAGGGACTCATCGCCACTTCCTGTCACGACCCCAAACTGCCCCTAGTAGTTTGGTGCCGTGATGGCCAGTAATCCGAGATTATCGAAGGCCAACTTTCAAAATTCAAACACAATCAGAGTATAATAAACGGGGCTCACAAACGCGGAAGCAATA